CCTTGCAGCAGACTTCTTCATATTGCACCACTGAGCAACTATTATATAACCATGTTAACTTATGAGCATGAGTGGAACAATAGATTCAAGTAATACAAAGTTTATGACTGCTCCAGTTTCATTTCACGACGAAACCAAGTACTCTCTAAACCATATTTCGAGTTCAAGTAAAATACCCATATCCTTAGCTCTATTATATATGTTCACTGTGTCGTCTTAACCAAGATTTAGGCACTACTCTTTCAGAAACACGCTAGACGTATTACCAGGGAGCTAAAAACTCTTAGCGAGATGTTCATGTACACAACATCAGGAGTACACACGAAGGTAAACTGGATAATTATCTTACTCATATAAGATCCACAAATACCATATCGCAAATACCAAGTGATCCGAAGACCTTAGAAAAACTAGTAGCATTCAGTAACAAGAACGACAATCGCAGTATGTCTTGAAAACAAGCCAAGGGACGAAGTGTGTCCAAGGGCTAAACAGAAGATTGAGGCCAATCGGTCAAACGACCCAATCTTGTTCAGACTACTAGAGTTAACTGACAAACAACTGGAATATAAAGTGATGTTTAAGCTAGAATTGGGGGTGAGCCTGTGCAGCAAACTAGGGCTAAATATCCTGCTTTTGAAGCTTTACAGACTGCACAATAGTGACCAGGCGCTTCAATGTGAACTACTTCTACTTAGGACGATAGTGAGTTCTTTTAAAGACGTTAAGAATATACTGCCATTCTCCCAACCTCTAATTAAAAGTTCCACGGACACGAGACAACCCAACAGACCACGGATAATCAGGTGGTTTGTGAAGCGGGAGCCATCAAATTCCTCAATACAGAACGTGTCCTGAAACTGAAAATTGGCTAATAAAGAGCCACGGGGATAATATAAGCAGTGGCGGTGACTGCCCTCCCCGAAGGCACCTAATTATTGTGAAGAATTTGCTACCTGTAAGCCACTTCAATCTGTCTATCTCATATCAGTCAGCTCAACATGGTTGCCAGAAATAAAAATTTATCTCCAATGGGCCGTTGGCTCCAGCTCAGCATTAATCCTACAAATTCAAAGACAGTTTAGGTAGGAAGAGTGAAATTATCCCGCATGCTCAGGGTCATTGGAAGAGTTAGGCACCTGAAGGTAAATTTCGCCCATTTTAGTCGGCCATGTTGGATTGGCCTTCCTTATATGTTCGTTTAACAAAGTCCACCTGAAACACTAAATATTGCAAACAATATTCTAACAGTGTGTCGCCATCAGATCACATGACGCGGACACCAACATAACTGGCCGGGAAATGGGAATTCCTACCAATCCGGAGAATATATAGCCCAATTTTATTAGAAACTGTTGACAAACAAAATTCACCGAGCGAGATTTCAACTAACATGCCGGATAAATCCAGCAGGTAGGGACATGCAGCATTGAGAGGGTCAAATCCGAACAGTAGTGAAATGATAAACTAAGGTCACATGGTGACCTCACGCATCAGTTACACTGAAGCAGGTTAAGGCGGAAGATGATAACCATGGCTATCCAAGTGTCATCATAAGATTTCAGGAAATCAGAAACAAACCATCAGCCATGAAACCGGATATTAACGCCTCCCCCAACTGTCTCCTCCTCAGCAGCACTTCAAAAACAAAGCATGCTAGTGAGATTTACCGTCCATTGGCTGTACAGAAGTACGAGGAGGTTGAGATAAAACATGAATGATCTTAGCAACCGAAAATTCTACACAGGCATAAAAATTAAAATGGTGACGGGGACATCGTTCACTCCTATTAATGCCTACAGTGAAGCGAGTTTACGCGATTTATCTCTGATTAGATACGACTGCCACAATGAGCAAGGAAGAGCTGCCATACAATCCAGGAAACACCTGAGGTGTTTGTGAGAGACGGACCCACCACTCGGCAAGTCACGAGAATCGACGAAGCGTCCCTTCACCATCTGAACGTCCATTAGGTACCACCTATCGACGGTCTTCAATCAAAGCATAACTCGACAAGTGGCTGCTCAGTACCGACACGAATCTGAACTATCGCCAAAACGTTGTGGCTTATTCCAATATCTGGCGTTGGGACCCGATAGAGGAACTTTCGGTTGAAATTTCCTACTCCCCAGGTCCGTAGGGGATCAAAGAAGTTTGTCGAATCAGGTAAGCCTCAACCCTCAGCAGCAACAAACAATCATTTCATATAGGTTTATCAAGCGATATACCAGGACACTGGCTCTGGTGTTCATCTCTCTTAGTTATATTCATGTTATTCGTATCACACAACTAGTAGTTTCATTCAGAAGTACCTACATCAAATGCCACTGGGTTAGGTGGGCTAAGCTAAGCAGTAAGGAGATGGTGTGGCTGTAGCTCAAGTCTAGCAGCTATCATGAGCGTTGTTTCAAGTTGGAGCCAACAGAAATCAGGCTGAAATTTGTCCAGGCAGCTTCACTATTTGGTTTAATAATGGTCCATTTGTTGAAATGTGACAGTCGCTGGAGCCCTAGTTGGAAGTCAAATTGTTTCTTCACTAACTGCTTTTTACCAATAGAAGCCTCACTAAGCCATGTGGTTAGAGTGACATCTCGTTCCGTGCAGGCTGGTGGAGTGGAGCTTGGGTGTTTTGCAAAACGTCTGATTAGTGGGAGTGTCTGAACTGGCAGAGATGATGTAATCAGGAAGTTCACTTTTCTTCATCAACAACATACAAAATGATACTTGATTTTCTCATCCGCTGCTTAGATGAGAACACAAGACGCGATGCGTAATGTAAAGGGTATATTCATAGAAAGAATTATGACACGTACACATATACATGATCAATGACTCAGGCGTAAGAAAAATAAATTTAATGAGTTTTCTTTCAGGTTTTTGCATAAAAATAGATGACTGATTTTCCTAACAACCCATCCATCCATACATCAGAGATGCTACGCAACTTTGTTCGTGTTACAGGAAAGGCAGCACCATCAGCTGGTGAAAATTTGGAAGTTGTGAAAGAAACTGTTTACATCAAGATCTCAGACACCGTTAACGTGGTCGCCTTTGGTTCCCCAAGGTTTTTTTACTCAGCTCACTCAGTAAGCAAAACGTTAAGTCCGGAGCAAATAGCAACCATCCAGAAAGCGGAGTGGCGGTGAAGGATATTCGGCACTCAGGAACCGATGCAATGCAAGGGTCCGGAATAACAAATGAATCCTTCTAAGAAAGTGGCGAATCTGAAGAAATTCTGCTGATTCATTTCGGAAATAAAGCCCATCTAAATGGTCCAAAGAAAAATTACTACTATGACCAAACACGTTCATGTCTGATTCAGCAACCAGCTATACTAACAGTTCGACTGGGTGGCTACGGGTTCAGTTTTGGGTCTTTTACTTGAGGACATATTCCTGGTTCATCTGAAGCAAACTAGAATGGAGCGAAAAACCACCGGTTGCTAGAGGTATGTTTGTAGGTAGCGGTAACATGAACTGCGCACCCACAGTGTTTGAAAGACTGAGATAGGCAATACAAGAACCTAAATCTTTGGAAGACGGGACACAAGTCAGTGAAGTTTCTTCCAGCCTTCTGAAATAATAAGTTTCTAATTAATAGCCTCGAAGACGTGGAAAGGAAGTCATTCCCTATTTGGCAATAACTTTCGATGTATAGGGTCACAGTGTGCTCCGCGTCTCTCTGTAGCGGAATGACTGGACATATATCTGAGTTACTTTGGTGATGTAACCAGGTCATATTTACTTAAGCATTTTACGCCCAGGCCTGTTCTTTTTCTGAGGCCGTAGATACCTAAATAGGACTGCACTTCAAGGTGCATGCTGACATCGCCTTATCGTTACATAAAGAGTCTCCGACTTCTTGATAGGTTCACGCAAGTGAGTAGATGAACTTCACTAGAAATCACCGAATATTAGGAACCATTACTGTACTGTGAAGAAGTATACTCAAAGAAAGCAACTGGTTTTATATTGGATAGGGAAACGGAATTAGATATTGGATTTGGAAGGGGTAAAATCTTTGGGCATACCGCACCAGAAGTGGCATAGCATATTTTGTGGCTAGAATTATTTTTGCTGCTATGGCAGACATTTTTAATGATAATGTAAAACTAAACCATCCACAAAAAACAGAACTCTGAGGTATGTAGTTGGTGGACACAGGGCTATTTCTAAACGTGTATTCAGCCAGCACAGTGACATGATTGTAAGCAGTGGAGTTTAATTCAGATCACTGAGTGTTGTTTCTCATTCGGCGAGAATCAGTAGGTTATATGATGCATAGAACAATAAAAAACGCCTGGCTAATTTCTGACTGTTCACACAGGTTCCAATTTATCCATTAGTGGTCACTTATCTTCACCGACGAGTGCCTATTATCCTGATTCGTCTTTCAGGCGAAGCAAAACTACATGCCGATATGACCATTTTGAGTGGATGGTATATGTCTATGGAGCTTTCATAGGCTATTTACACTGTTTTCACCTAATACAGCTGCGAATGGGAGTTTACATAGTAGTTATACTTGTTTGATATGATTTTCTAATGGACTGGAAGATATTGTCATTGAGTAGCATCTTACCAACCTTAATAAACTCGCTTATTCATAAGCTTAACTGATCTGTACTCTGCGTAATGTCAGAGGTATACAAATGAGATGTAATGAACTAATTGAGAATATGCCTGAAAGAGTAATAAATTTAAAAAGAATTAATTTGAGGGTGGTTATACGTAAAAACGTGTATTCAACTTATATGACTAGCGTAGGTGAGCTATATATCAGCTGTACAGAAAGTCGGAATCCAGATAATCTCTGGATCCACTATGATCTCTTAAAGTTACAGAATCAAATTTAAATCACCAAAATGTATCACACTGAAGTAGTTTTAATAATGAATTGATGGTGTCTTTTTATTTGGAAATGAGGGAATAAAATTGGTTCTCATTTTGTTTGACTATATCTATATCAAGGTGACATATGCAGCGATAACACCTTTGTTAATGTTTGGAACATATGGATTAATGAAATTGAAAGGGCTGACAATTTTATTGATTTTTGTTTTCTCCGAAACAGTCGGTAAGCATAATTTTTACTATTAAGTTAATTCCTACCACAGCTTCTGTTATAGGTGAAGTGGAAAATGTGAAAGGTATTTCGATCTTTCTACGCCGATCATAAATTTTATCCATTAAATGGTAGCATGTTTTACCCATATGAATAGTATTGGAGGATATCCTAAAGAAGGTTCTTATGAAGTGATCAAATTGATCCTGGACCAGAACTGCACGCACATTGTCGGAAATCTAATACTCACCGGTTTATATAGAAAAGGTATCAGATATTGAGTTTTGCTACAATTCCATTCGATGTATGATGTTATTTTTTGTATTTGAATTAGCCTTGATTTTCACGAATTTCACATATTCGCGTGCGTTTTCCAACACCATTATCAAATAAGTCTTATTACCATAATTTGTGTATGTATGTGAGGGGAAACTGGCAATTAAACCTCTTTAGTGCATGAGCTGTTGAAGGCTTAATCAATCTGCTTTAAGTAATTTTTAAAATAATCTGTTGGGTTATTAAACTATACTATAGATTCGACGAAATATAAGGTGAGTTGTAATATTTTTGTGAAATCCCCAGAAGAAAAACAAATGCTGAGACCAGCTATTATAAAGCAAAATCGCTTTAATTTATTTCCTTTGACTGGACCACCAGTCTGTTCAACACTACATGGTGGATCAAGAATGGTTTTATTTATCATTGGAACTGGTTTAATTTTTAAAGGCTGGATTTAATTACTTGAAAACGGTTAGCATCTCCGTTGCCTGTTTGTGGTAGGCATAAAAGCAGAGCCTTTTAACCCGGGAATAATCCTCACATTGTCTGCTCAGTGTTTTGCTTTTTGCAAATACTTGTGATCGCTTTTCCTGGATTTTTCCTAAAACAATGGCAGTGTGTCTCAATATGTATTTATTAGGTAAATTCAACCCTTATTTTCACTCTTGATTCGTGTTTTTTAAACTGGAGCCATGCTTACACATTTAGTGCGGATCTAACTACTTACGTAATGTTATCATGGGATAGTCTAACAAAGTTTCAGAGATTTGTGCAAGAGAAATCGCTTTTATAGCTTTTCATGTACAAAGTCTTTTTAATTTAGCATTGGTAAGTGTAGATTCAGATTTCAGATTTATTGGTTGAGGATAGGAGGCTTGAAGCCTATGTTAATCCTTTTCTAGTAAATTTCTGTGGTTTTTCAAACCCTTCTTGAACGAATCAGTTGAAGTTGCAGACACCATTTCTTCTGGGAGTCAGTTCCAAGAGTTTATGACTCGATGTGAGAACCATTACTCAACAGCAATATGATTTCTTATTGGCTTTTGAACTCTCCTGATATGCCCTCTAAGGTGTTCCGACCTGGTGGGAAGGGAAAGAGAGAATAGGTCAGGTCCGTAGTCATTATTTCAAAATTTTAAACATTGTAGTTAAATCTCCTCTCTGTCTACGGTATGACAGGGAGAAGAGTTTTAAACTGTCTAGTCTTCCTCGTATGATAGGTTAGCTATGCTGAGAACCATACGTGTTGTCTTCCTTTGAACACTTTCTAGAATGTGTGAGTCCCGTTTTAGACAAGGACTGGAGGCCTGGATGAAGTTTTCCAGTCTTGACCTCACCAGGGATGTATATAAGAAGGTGAACATATCTCTGATGATTCTAGTAAAGGCTCTGCGAATCGCCCATAAGGACCTGAAACTACGTGCAGCCACCGCGCGACAGTGTGCTGTAATTTTTAAGTCGTGGCTAACTATGACACCTAAGTCCAAGTGAGTCTGGACTAATGGAAGTGTTATTCCCTCTAGATCGTAGGAGCTTGTGCCAGCTTGTCCAATGCGCGTGGTTGCACATTTTGCCACATTGATCGGGAGCATCCATTCTACGGACCACTCTGACAATTTGTTGAGGTCCTCTTGCAACGTGAACGTATCACTGTTGCCCTTCGAGCTGATTATAATAGTCCTAAGTGTTTAATAAGAATTATTACCAACTGACTCTTGAGATGGCTTACCCCAAATTTATCAACATGTTGACCTTCGATTACTTGAGCACTAGGTGTTAAGGTGCAAGCTCCATCTAAATAGCAAGTATATCCTCCCTTTACATTAGCAAGATTATATATTTGTCCAAAACTGATTTTCATAATATAATAAAAAGGCTCCAGTCAACGTGTGCATTTAAGTGCCTAGCGAAGTATTTTTTAGACCTTTCTGAATTTAGTGTATCTGCTCAAATGAGTGGTTTTAATTCAAGTATTTAAATATTTGTGTAATGCACAAACACACAGTGGAATGAAAGATACTTCTTATAAACTGCTGTTCTGATAGACTTATCCGTCTAAATTTAAGAGTTTCCATTAGTATAGATTCTTGATATAAGTAAAAAACTTGGGCACTGTGGTACAGCATAACTCCATTATGGATAATATTTTATTTTGATGAATCACACAGTGTTATACAGTAATATTAGCTGATCACGTTTTGAGCACAAATTATTGCTCATAATCATATCAGGTTGATATTACTGTACAGCACTGTGTGATTTATCAAAATAAAATCTTGTCCATAATGAAGTTAATATAGATTCTGTAGAAATTAACTTTCCTGAAAGTTATACTGTTTCTTAGTAGTGCAATTAAAGTTGCTGCGTGTATTAAACATATAACCACTTAATAAATAGCTAATGAGTGGATATTTATGTTTCATTTATTCTGCTCACTAGGAGAAGTTTCTAGGTGATTCTTCGCTTCTCAACTTTCTGGTATATAAGAGTAACATAATGAGTGTTAGATACAGTTTGAAGTTTGAGAGTGATTTTTAGTTTCTGTGTGATGGGTAATATTTAGGGTATAATATTAGTATCAGGAGTTCCTTAGTCTTAGGTTTGTATCACAAGTCAGCCGGTACATGCTGATAACAAAATCCAATTTTTCACAGAATACTGATATCCTTATGATATTTAATAGCCTAATACGGGAACAAGCATCTCTGAAGCAGAAAAATAGAGAGATTAAGTGGAACCGGATTTGTTACGAAATATTGTAGTAAAGGTAATTGTGCTAAGTTAGACGGAAATTTCCACCATGTTTTACCCATCTGTAGTAGATTACCATAGGTGACTGAAAAGCCTTATCGGAACCTCATCTCCCTTTGGGTCTCTATAACTGCTTCCTCTGGTTCTCTGTGAATTTCTCAGTCCAAGCAATGAAAACAAGTATGAAAGCAAAAATATGCACGCATTTAGCCAAGTAAACCTTGAATGTAAAACTCGGGTTTACATATATCTGTGTTTTCAATGATGGAAATACGGAAATTTGGAGTAGGTTATTTGCCGTCTTAGCTTTTGGTGTGTGACTAGACCTTATTAAAGGCTGTTTATCAGTTCTGTGTTGAAAATAGCTGCATATCTCGATTAGAATATTCCGGAATTTTTAATTGGAGCAAAATATTTCAAAAAGCTATTTTTGTGAGAAAACAATGGCATATTGTCAGCTTGTGAGCAGAACTTTACCTTGTCCTTTTAAAACCTTTTTCCTTCATGTATGCCCTTGAAGCGTAACCGTTTATCGTCATTGAAATTCACTTTGAGTTAGTGTTTGTAAATTCATTTCTGAACGATAACTAGCTATTATCAAGTTGGTAAATTAAGGTCACTCACTTTCTGGAAAAACAAGATAAAATTGGAAGAGACTGTAAATCTCCCTTTTCTTCACCCCACTTCTAATTTAAAATCATACTAAGAGATCTTAAGAAATATTGGAAAATCTGATTCAAAAAGGCGAATAATGATGGTATCCAAAATTATTCAGATATTCTGGAGATTTGTGTGGGAATAACTGTTCTGGTTAAGCTTGAAAAGGAAATCAATCTGAGGAGGAGTACTAGCTAACACGTAAACATTGTATGTGAACATTAGGCAAGATCACTCAGAAATCAAACTATGTTGTTGACTTACGGGGAAAATATACGAGTAACGGCTTGCATTATACTGAGATTTAACTGCCACAAGCTTATACTATATAATACTGATGATTTTAAACTGAAATATTCAAGAATCTTGTGTTGTCACCTGGCTTCACAAGACATATGTCATACGTGCAAGACATCTTCCACTTGATCTTGGACGCAGAACAGTTTTTCGTTGGTATTCATTGTATTCCGGTTATTTTGATAGCCACTACTTTGGTCACCACAAAGTATACTTGCTGGGATTTTTAGACTGCTTGAAAAATGTTATATACTTATGGACATCCTGGATTCCACTTCTAGTCATCATCCGCAAATTAAATTCTAATTATGGACCCAGGTTAACGAGAATATGTAATTATTTTACAGTTTGATAAAGAGTAGTGAATAAAGTAATATGTATTTCTAAATTTTTAAATTCTGACTTATGGAGAATCTTAAAAGAATCAGTTAGAGTTGCTACTGCAATAAAGAAATCCTTGTAAACATTCTACTTTCGCTATCCTCATTAGCACTTCTACACAGACACATACAAATGTGTCGAATTCTCGCTCGGTGAAATTTTAGAATAAATCGTGTCACTGAATTCTTATGCCTTAGACGTATAAGTTAACGGTGGCCGTAGTCACTTTATTTCTTCCCATTAGTTGCTTGGGAAACATTTTATTGCTCCTTGTCTGCATTTTTATTGGTATGTTTTATAGGCGAATATTGCTAGACTGTATTTACAGATATAATAAACCGAAACAAAAATGAGTCTCGCCAAAAAGTATATTTCTTTTTCCTGTGTTTCAGGCAGCTAAAGTTTGCTTAGTCTGAATAAATTAACCCTCTCCACTGATAAACTTCCATAGAACGTCATATTTCACTTATAGTTGCAAAACTGAAATGCAGACTTTTAAAAATAATGACTTTTGTACCAAGGCTTTCTTTGAGTGTTTCTTTATGAATATTGTAATCAAAAACGATATCGGCATAAAAATTTGCATCTATATTCGTGCACAGTGTTGTCAGTCACACTGTAATAATGGTAGGCTCCGTTATCCAATGAATAGCATGCGTTCAAGGTAATTGGTGTGCTATCACTCCTTAGTCACTATTTTTTAACTTCTCCCTTGTAATAGTAAACAGGAATAGAAGCTAATCTATCTAGATAATGCAAATCTTGAATAATGCAACCTGCTGAATGCATCAAGTTGATTCCAGTTACTGCGTACCATCAACCAACAATCTGCCTAAACGACAAAGTGTTATCCTTAATACATGACAGTCTTGAACTCGGTTTGTTGTATAATCATTCGTGAG